CAAAACTGCAGGTCAGAAATGTTACCTCTAGGAAAATAAAAACTCATTTCTTGGCAAACAGTCAAGATTATAATATTGTTCCTTTACCTCAATGCACACGTTACCTTCTGTATCTCAATGTCCTTCTACCTTCTGTATGTACAGTAGCAAGAGGAAGTCATCTTCACATGCTAACTTTAGCAGACCCAACAAACTCAGCATTTCTTATTTGTTTGGCTTTGCAGAAAGCAAAAGCCTTTTCCTTTGTGGAAAACGCTTGTTTCTGCCTATTGAACTTCTCCTTCATGCCACTACTTTCACTAGTCCTTTTCTCATAAGCTGAGTGGGCTGTAACTAGAAGAACCAAGTGAGGAAAATATAACCATGCAGCTTCTGCACAGCTGTGAACCAGCTCACTAGTGAAGAGCTAATTTATAATGACCCCAGCAAATGTCAGAAAGAACCAACCCTACTCCTTTGAAACATTCCTCAGAAGGAAACCAAAGACCAAATGCATCATTTTACTGGTACAGGACACACCAAGATCATAAAAATCGTGTGTAACTCTCCTTCAGGAGTGATGCCTGTCTTGCACAGTCACTCACTTGGCTCACTTGGCCAATGCTTGCCTCTTGCATCCTTTCTCCATACCTTTTCTCCACAGCCTGTACTCTGATGTCAAATCAAGGGGATGCTCCATGGCCTGTTTCTTCTCCTAATACCTGCCAGGCACCCCAGGCAGACTTTGAGTGAGGACAGTGCTGTCCATGGACTCAACACAGTTCCCAGTAAGGAGCTTGGTTCCTTGCTTCCCACAAACTCAACAATTAGGTCCATTATGATTGTGCATCTACCACTTGTGGATTATGCCTTTAAAGAAAAAAATTTATTTCACCATCACTTGTCCAAATTCATCTGAGTTTGCCCCAGACTTGGATAAAAGATGCAAAAAGACAGGCTTTTTAATCTTTTCAATAAAAATCCTGACCCAGGATTAACGTATTATAATTCAACCTCAGTATACAACCAGTATAAACCTGCCCTGGTAAAGTAAACAGGCTGCCGTAACTTGGAACAGGTCTGTGCAGAGTTAAGAGCCTACAGAACCTTTATCTCCTCCACTACATTCACTGATGAAAACTGAAAATTCAGTTTTTGAAAAACCACTAACAGAGGTTTTCAGTGCTTTCTTTTTCCTGACAAGAACTGCATCTCAATTTTCATCTAAAGCTTATTGCTCAAATTATTTTAACTTTGCTTTAAAAATACTAAAACCTTAAAAATCCTAAAACTGTGTTTTAAAAGTAATAAATAGAGGTCAGTATTATGAATGCAGAGTAAAGCTGACAAGGAATAGAGGAAAAAATATTTGGAAAATCAAAACAGCCGCATTTTTCAAATAGTTCTACCTTGGACCACTGAAACCAGACTAGTACTGTAAGGTACCTCAGTAGTGTAAACCTTTGGGCCAAGGCTGTTGTCGGTTTGAACAAATGGATCCTGCACAGTTCATTCTATGTACCTGTGACTTGCTGCAATTTCTCAGCCAACTTGAGCAAGTCATTTAAGCATGTGCCTGATCAAAAGGACATTTAGGAGCCTGATTGCCTGCAGAAGGCAGACAGTCAGTCTTTCAAGAACACCTCTGCACTTTGAACAATGCCTTAAGCTAATTGCTTAGGATGTGGAAGCCTGGAAGATAAGGGCTAATGTGTATATTTCAAAAACTGATAGCCACGTAGCTGTGGAGCCAACCAAGGATTGTTGGTAGTGACAGCCTATTACCAACCATGTCTGGAGAAAGGGGCCAAATGGAAGTAGGGCAGTGCCTTTCTGGCACAAGCGTCCTTGTTCTGGCTCTCAGAGCTAAGCACAACAGAGTACAGTTGTGGCACAGGAAAGATGCTGATGAGCCAGTGTGGAATGTAAGGGGAGATCAAGAGCACCCAAGTTCTCTGAAGTCCCCCAACCCTTTTCCACAAAGGTCAACAAGAATGGGTTGCACATGATAACTCATTTGCCTAGAGAGTGAGAAACTTAGCTCCAGTGCATGGAAACTTCACTATAAAAAGTACTACAAAGGCTGGACACACATGTGTTCCAGGGGCCTGCAGACCCATCAGCTGGATTGATGCTGGAACCAGGACTGGTAGTACCTTCCTCTTCCTTTATTCTTTTCGTTCTCTCTCTTCCTCTTTAATCCATCTCTCTCTCTCTCAGTCCCTCTCCTTTCAACCTAGCCCTTTATCCAAAACCCACTGTCCATGCTTGTACAGAGGTCAGGAATTACCATACACATTTCCAAGCCAAATGTGTCATTTATTAATACAACTTTGTAAGCTTTTGCAGGCACTCTTGTCATTCCTTTCAACCACAAGGACCTATGATCCTTGGGTGCTCCCTTCCATGTAAGGGTGGTATGCCACACAGGACTAATGCCAGACCCATTTAAATGGAAGCACACAATAAATCAGTATCTATGATTTAGCTCTAGCTAGGCATAAATATTTACACTTTTCCTTGAATGGACACTTGCCTTGAATTAAATATTCCTAGTTAACCAGCCATGCTTATTCATTTTATTTTAATATTAAACCACACTATTCAGGCTGGGGACTCCAGTATATACTAGGACTAAGATGGAAAAAAAATCATAATGATATTACAGAGAAGCAATAAACAACAGTTTTCATAAATTTTATGAACACTGTGAATGCTCAAAGAATGTGATTTTCCTGCTTTGAATAATTTTAGTATATTATTTACTTGGAGTTATTTTAAAATTTTGATACTAATGGGGTAGGAGAGACAGGAGGAGAGGGTGGCTAAAAATAATGAAAGAGGTGTGTGAGGGTGATGTGTGCATGTACCAACTTGCAGGCATACACAGGTATGCTCACATGTAGTTATGCTAAATATCCATGAAAATTGATCTAAAATACCATAAAGGGAAGGGATTTGTGTGCACAGCAAGCTGCTGCCTCAGGATTACAAATGTTGTTGTCAGTTTGAACAAATGGATCCTGCAGAGTTCAGTCTGTGTACTAAGCCAGGATTAATACCTCTGGATTCTGGAAGCCAAAAATATAAAACAAACATGTGTCTGTCTAGTTTGGGTGGCTGAAGAATCGTGTTTCCTGGGCTGGAGGGGTCCACGCCAGCTGGCTATAGACCCTTGCCCACACAATACTTCATAAATGAAGGTAAAATATTAGAGAAGCGCTCTCCTCCACGTGGGAAACGTTGTCCTTTATTCCAAGACACATATCAGGTGGACAAACCCATGGGAGAAAAGAGGGCATTCCCTGGCAGCAGGGAGCTTTTATACCCCCCGGGATGGGGACAGAGGGAGAGGTCCACAGCCAATGGGACACCAGTGAGGAGTGGCGAGGGGAGGGGTAACCGTGGGGAGAGACCACCATGTGGTACCAGGATTGGTGAGGGAAAGACCAGGTGATGGGGGAAAAGGGTAACAAACCACATGATATAACATAAGCTATACAGTGCAATACAAAACTCTTCTGTGCAAATTCCCAATCACCCAATGCAAGGGAACAACTAAACTGGTGCACCACAACACCTCCCCCTTTTCAGTAAAAAAAAAAAATTAAAGGAAAAGCATTGGACTATCTCTGTTTCAAGTTCAGGGGCCACCTGAAATTAGGTACATTACACAGGTGTCCTACCAGAGAAACCAATATGAGCCTGGAGGAGAGCATTTATTTGTTCACCCAACACATGAATAGAACATGAGGGGACAATTTGTGTGGGAGCATTGACCTGCCACTGATCAATTAGGAACTAATCTTCTACCTTTCAAAAAGAGCACACATACACACCCCAAGTAGGATATTTGTGATTTATTTTGCCTGTCCTTGAATTAAGAGGCGACTGCATAATTCTGGAGATGGAGAAAAACCAAGACGTCAACCTTAGCAGCCTGGATTTTTGGTGCAACTCCAGCTTGTTTTTAGATTCCCTAACTGGCTCTGGCAGATCTGTAACAAAGAATTGCAGTGACAGAGGCCCTTCAGCGTTTGTGTTCATAGCACCAAACATCTGACATTCACAGTTTGATTCTTGACAAGCCTTTGCCCATTGTCTCAATGACAGGGGCCAAACTAAAATCCAGGACTCAAGCTGTTTACATCACGATCCAACTGTTTTCAGTTTGCTTCATTGCTTTTATCATGGGAGAAGTACAGTCTGAATCTAGGTTAAGAATAGCTGCCTTCCTGTTTTAAAGTTATTTAAGGAATTTCTGGTATATACAGTCTGTATGTATAAATATTAAAAAGGGACAAGAAACCCCTGAAAGATTCATGCATTTTTTAAGAAAACAGCAGACCTACCAATGCGTAGTTGGATCTAATATATCTGATACTGCTCCCAGAAGGTAGTCTATGTTCCTCTTAGAAATGGGATTGCATGCTAAGTAGCCTCTGATAGCTCCAGCCCAAAAGTAACCTAAAATAGTATTTTGAAGCTTACTAAGAAAATGAAGACCCTTCTCTACTTTATGCATTACAGTCATCCTGAATAAGAAATAAAAATTTGTTCATCTACTGAATTAGTCATTCCCCCACTCACTCCACAAGCTCTTGCCCAAACCAAATTCTCTTATAGATTCAGGAAGATAGAGTGCCTTTTTGCCAACATGTGTACCTCTGTCTACTGTTCTCAGCACTCTGAAACTGGTGGTGGTTGACACCACAAAGCAAATACCTTCTGTACATAAGAATTCGACACAGAGTACATAAGGACCAGAACCTGAAAAACCAGTCTGGTGTTCATTTATTGGGCAGAAAATGTTCAAGTCCACAAAGGCAAACACTCTCCTCTCCTCTCCTCTCCTCTCCTCTCCTCTCCTCTCCTCTCCTCTCCTCCTCCTCCTTTTTTTCATCACTCTCTAGGGTGGTTCTGACAACATATCAACACAATACTTCAGGTTAATTCACATTAACTGGGTATGCGTGAGCGGCTGGCACATGGAGCTTGAGACTGGTTCAAAAGTCACTCACCTTCCACAACCACAGTTGCAGGTTTTGAATAGGCTGTACCCAAACTGTTCTTGGCTACACAACGATACTGTCCTGCATCTTCTCTCTGAACATTGTGTATCCTTAAATTCCCAGAATCGAGGACGGCAATGCGAGCAGTCTCCTGCCGGAGGAAGGAGCCATTGAGGTGAGGACTCTATATGCAGGCTGCACACAAACATCAAAAATCTGCTTACAAAGTTTGGGTTTACATGCTTGAACACTGTATATGTCCTACAACTCAAGCAGCTCTTCCTGCTCAGCATTGTCATGACACACTGACCCATTGCTATTTTTGCAGATCAGTGGATTATATCTTCAAAAGAGCTCTTATTTAAGAGAACACTCACAAGTGCTTTCCTCAGTATTTGGCCATACTCAGTAGTGACAAGCATGTATCACATAAAATATAGATACATAGAGAACATTTGGTTCATATATAGAATCATTGCAAATGAAGATATTTATGAGACAAGCCCTGGATTTTCCAAATGCTTCCTTTCTAGCTACTAGAATTTTCAAATACTATAACTAATGCTAATATTTAACACAGTACCTTTAGCAAATAATTAGTATTACTGAAAACCATTCCTACTCACCTTTACAACTGTTTCTCCTTTGACCCATGAAACAGAAGGTTTTGGATTCCCCATTGTAGTGCATGGAAGAACAGCCTTTAATCCTTCTATTATTTCCACATTTACAGGTGGGCGGGTTATTTTGGGTCCTAAAATTTTAAAAGCCAAAAAACTAAACTTGAAATGAAGCTACATGATAATAGAATGAGAAAAATTCAGAAATTACATCCAAAAAACAAAAAAATCTGCTGCTTTTTCTGTGTATTGCTGAAAGATAAAGCAGTCTTTCTCAGTTTTGAAGTTATTTGGTAAGAAGTTTCTTCAGCACAGCATTCAGTTTATAAGCCACAAAAGCAGCTAACTTGCAGGTGTTATTTGTTCTCCTGAGTGGAGTTTGACAGTCATTTGAATTAGGGCCTGGGCTAAAATCCAAATTCAGATAAGAGTATTTCCAGTATTGAAGAATGTTAGCATTCCAGGTTCTGACATTTTTCACTGTGTAAACACTGTCTTGTCTCAAAGCTCAGATCTGGATTGAATTGATTTTGAAAGAGTTTTAACCCAGGTTTGCCTCTAGCTCAACAAGAAGGGCATGTAAATGCAATTACTATCCTCAACTGAAGAATTTATAACTATGCTAGTGAAAAGGACAATTGAGCCTTAAAGAAAAAGCAATCAAACTCCCTTAAAGTTAACGAGGGATAAATTTAAATTCATTTTACTGAAAGAACATGGCCTGCCTTAGTCTGAGCTGAGAGTAAAAAGGATTACTATCTCAGTATTTTGGGAGATCTGACATTTTAATGCCCTTGCATGATAATGAACCAGCAGAAAAACAAGTTTCAGAGAGCATCATCTCCTGGCCACCACCTGCAAGTGACAGGGATGATGCAGAGTTCCAGCATTACCAGAGCTTGAGGGTCATCTTATTAGTACAGACAAATCCTTTCCTACAAACAGATGCTTTAGCCAGAATATACCTCCACTGCCTTTTGATGTGCTTGTGTAAATAACTCTTGCCATGTGAGTCCAGTTTTACTGAGTTTTGCACATATGTAGCTCTCTGCAAAAGCAAATCATTTGCCTTCCTTGTGGGATGATGACATTTACAACGTGGTGCTCCAGACCATTCAACACTTCTATTGAGAGCATCTGAACATAATTTAGTTGATTTTGCCATCCTCAGGAAGAAATCTGATTGGTGAAATTTTACAATTAAAATTCACCAGGGCCCTATGCAGTATTGCCACAGAAGACTAATCTATCCAAGTCTTTTACAGAGTTTTGTACAAAGGGAGTTCTTCAAAGTATCAGTTTTTTTCTTCTGATCTTAGAACAAATGTGTGTTATTCAAAGTAAATAATCACAACTGCATTAATTTATGATCCCATACACCATGTCTCTGACTCAAAGAGCTGCACCCTTCTTCCCAAGAACATGGGCTTGCCCTGAACGTTGAATCCCAGGTGCCATAGATGGGAGTCTGCTCAGGCTTTCGATTAAACACTCATGTGGCATCAGGAATAAATTGCATTCCCACTTACGCATTTTCACCTGGAGAGCCCCACAGCTCTGTGCAGCTGCTCCAACTCCATTATCTGCTGTGCAGCAGTACACCCCATCATCACTGTCCTCCACACTCAAGATGGTCAGGAGCTGCCCATTCCTCTGGATGCTGTACCGTGTGTCGAACAGCCTGCAGGGCACAGCATGGATTGTCAGGGACAACCAGACAGAGAAAAGGAATTGCATTTTAATATGCAGCCTGCTGATGTCACTACAAGTGGCAATAAGCTCCACCTTTGATTTTTAACCCACAAGCAGAAGGGAAGGAGCTGAAAATGCTCAGTTCAGAATTAAGATTCAGGTTTTCATTAGACCATGCAGTTCCTGACTGTCACTAGTGTAATGGCAATTCTTCCGCCACCCAGACATTGGTAAAATCAGTAGGCATCATCTTTGGGGTTTTGACTGGCCAAGGACAGGCATGAGCACAAATAACCTGTTCCAGCCAGGTTCTGTTTTATGTATCACTGTTCAGTGTAAGAGAAAGATGCTTATATAGGAGCTAGAGCTGGCTGAAATTGTTTGAAGAAACTTTCTTCAGAAAAACAAAACAAAACAAAACAAAGTAAAAAAAATTATTTTTTTATTAAACAGATGAAGTTAGGGAAATATTTTTAAGGTTGTGAAAAAACACACCAACCAAAGATCATCAACTTTTGTGTCTACATCTTGGAGTAGTTTTGCCTATTTTTTTTGCAAAAAAAGACCCCACCAAACCAGCAAACAAGCAAAGAAATGTGCTGAAGCCATCTGAAAGTGAAAGGATTCAAGGATAGCTGTGGTTTAAGGACAGCAGGTTTTAACCTGGATATTTCAGAGAACTGCAGAAAGCCCTGAAGCTGGAGCAACAAAAATATGGGATATTGTAACAAAGTATGTGGGGCAAAGACCAATTTCATATGTGAACATGACAAGAGGTGTGAGTAGGGAGGTTATGACCTGAGGATTTTATCCCCAGCAATCACAAGTATCTGACCAGGACATATGTCAGGTTTTGTCTTTTACTGTTAAAAATTGTACAGTAGTCACTGACTAATCTGAATGTACCGTTATGATGGCTTAGGCATGTATTTCCTTTCAACAGCATTTCACCACTCAGTATTACATCTCCCTAATGTCTGACAGTGCATAACAATGAGAAGATAATTTCCAGATCCAGAACTAGAAGCAAATAAGAATGGCACAGTACAACCCCTTCCATGCAAAGTTTCCAAGAACATTGAGACAGACAACAAGCCCTGCTAAGCTCCTTTTAAATATTATACAGCATCCTCCTCCTTCATAAATGCATGAACTGAGGAAGAAAGCACATTGAATTGTCTGAAGCTGGAGAGAAAACTCCTTGCAGCAGAAACCAACTCTCTGCAAGCTCAAATGTGTGAAGGTGCAAGAGCAACACCCAAGTGCTCTTACCACTCCCTCAGAAATACAGAATCCTAGATAATTACAGCCACTCGTTCTCTCTCCTGACACAGACTGATTTTTATATTTCCAGATATCTCCTGTATCATGAAAAGAATCACTGCCAATTTTAGCAGAAGGTGCTAGTGAGGGCTGGGGCTGCTCCTTACCTGATGGGAATGCTGTTGCGTGTCCATGTAATCTCCGGCTCAGGATATGACTCCACTACACAGACAAACTTGGCAACATCTTCTACCAGGGCGTCCACTGTTTCCAGAGGAGTGCTGATCAAGGGAGCTGTGTGAAAAAGCAAAAATGAGAACACCTTCTGATGCCTACTGGAGAGAATTACATAGCCTCCCAAACACCTTTGGTGGAGGGAGCCATGTCCCTGCAGGGTCACTCAATGGCATTTTCCCTTGAGGTCTCTCCATAAGATGCAAAACAGAGCAAACCAAGCTCCAACAAGCGCAGTGCATCCTGTGTTCCTGACCCACCTCCTCCTCAAGACTCACAGCAATAGGTGAGCATACTGCAAGGACACAGGTGAGGATGTCCCACTGCTGCAAGGGTGGCATTGCATAGGCTGGAAGTGCAAGGGGCAGCACACAAATTGAAGCCAAGCTGTCCTGCTCCTGGAGTGGGAAGAGTGCCCCCTTATTAGTGCACAAGATGTGGCCTTTTTTTGTCATTATAACAGGATTTATTCACTCAACTATTTATCTTAAAAAAAAAAAAAAAAAGAAAAATAGAACATAACCAACAACAACAAACCTGTTACATACAAACACCAAACCCATTATATAGCGCTGTATTTTTCTAAGCCAGGCTCACAAAGACCATTCAGGTCATTCAGATTTGTGTCCTGTCTAGGACACAGTCTCATTTTCTCACATTTTCTAACCAAGAAGCATGAGGATTAGAAGTTTAATAGCTCTGTCTAATGCTCATTATCATAGACCTGTAGTCATACGTTACTTGAATGCATCTTTAGAAACATTTGCTCTGGTGAAAGACTTGAAGCACAGCTGGAAGGGATCAAAGCATAAACCTAGCCACTCGCTTTCCTGGTCATGTTATTCATTGCAGCCACTGCCTCCAAAAACATTTGAATGTCTTGAAAAATGGCTGCAAGGGACACACATCCGTATTGATTGGACTAGATTTCACTGACAACAGTGCTGAGATAAACTAGTTTTTACTATATTCCTGAAAAACTATCTTGAAAATGCATCATGGATTCAGGATCTTCCTGTTCCTCACTGAGCATAGCAGCTTCTGGCCCATTATTTTTTCACAGAGAATCCCAACTGCTGTGTATCTACTGGCCCTCCATAGTACAACGAGATTCAAATTCAGGCAAAAAATAAACTATATCCATTTTACCCTTCCCTCCCTAAGGAATGGGCAAAAGAGAAGACACTCAGATTTAAGTGACTGAGAATAATAGAAAGTCAATAGCTTAATCCTTTATCAATTTACATGGAAGTCAAAATTAGAATGTCTTTGGAGTTCTGTCAGAATGAAGCTAGAGGAAGAAAGGATCAGCTTCCACTATCAGGTTTATGTAAAACACTAAACGCTTTTGATGTTTGATTAGAATGAATCTGCCTCAATAATATTTCTAGATTGTATGACTTTGGATCATATAATTGATTAACAATAATGACTACACTTATGTAAATCTCAAAACTACATCTAAGATAGCTCTAAAGGTCATATGGATGAAATTTCAATTAGAACAAATCTGTGACAAGTTCATTGTTTAAGATCACTGCTTCAAATTATATCATGCATCACTTTATTAGGTCATTTTGGGTCACATTAAACAGAAATAATCATCTATATTGTTCCCCAGATGAATCCCACGCCAGTGAAACCAAATGGAAGTCTTCTATAAAGTCTTAATTTTGTTACTAATGAAGATTGTCTTAGGAGAATAACCCCCGCCAATGGTTATCCTTTCTGCTTTAATGAGACATTGCTATTTCATGACAAAGTTTATTGGGGTTTAATGGCATTAACCCCACAGTTTTGCAATCCAATTTTATATAGTATGGTTTTTTTGCTGTTGTCCACATTCCTCATCTCTGGAAGGATGCTTTTCTAACCCTGAGAAATGTAAATTTTTATAGTAACAATAATTCAAAGCAACCAGTTTTATAACTGTTGTAACAGTAAACACAGCCACTCCCACAAGTAATGAAGTTACATTTGTGCCAAGAGCTGGTATGCATAATGACAGTATTTTGTTCTTTGGGCAAACAAGTCTTATCAGGTTTCTATATTAAATCAATGTTCTAGAAACAGTTACATGCTTTTAAGTGTGTCTTTTATTCAACAGATGACAGAATATTTAATATTCTGACCTTGTCCCTTTTGAAAGCCAGCATACAGATTTTTGGGCAGAATCAAGCCGCGTGCTTCTAAGAAAATAGTGTCCAAACTGACAGCACTACAGTAACAGGCAATCATTTCAAAGCTGCCTTCCCAATTCTACATCCTCAGAGAGCAACCATGACAGTAAGAGGGATGTATAATTTTCTCTTACGCTCTTTTCACCTTTGTGATATTTAACCCAAGGACAGAGAGCAGTGGGACTTGCCGTCATTTTGTGAGGTGGCAACAGAGTTCCAAAATGGCTGAGATGGTACTTACATCTAAAAGCTATTCAAACGCCTTGGGTGCTGGTGTCAGTCCACGTTTTCTCCAGAAAGCACTCTAAACTCATGATGTGTGCATTACCATATTTTAACATAGGAAAATAAAATCTGAAAAGTGTATGGACATATCTATCATCACATAGAAATGGAGCCAGGCCTTTTCACGTGCGTATACTGGGCCTTTCTGATATTTTTAAGGGATCCTTGTGGCTTTAAATAAATTGAAAATAAATTAATCTATATATGTGTAAAGCCACACAGGTGCCATTTTTCTGGATGTCAGCTGTAGTTTCTGAAGATAGAAAAATGACCCAAGACTGGTCACGGGACCATGAGAAAGCCAAATCCCCTTCTGTCCCCAGCCCACCAGAAGCTTCCAAATGTGTTGGCTTAGGATTTGGATTCACACTTTTGAAACCAGACCAACCAGCCAAACAAAACAATACAGAAAAGAGAACCAGTCCCTCTGCAACATCACAAACACCTGGAGAAACTGCAGTTTGTATGGTAAAAAGCAGCTCAGCTGTGATGTCCTAGAAAGGGGAATGTATCTGTTCATTATACTGTGACACCAGAAAAAAAAATCTATCCCTGTCCTCTTTGTTTTCTCGTCTCTCCAATACCACTTATTTTACCACAATATTCAAAAGCGTAAAGTTCACAAACTTACTTCAGTGCCTTACAAATATACCAATATTTTTATTTCAAAACTTTTTTAATAAGAAGATATGTTTTGGGTTTTTTTTTTTTCATTTTGGGAATAACCTGACTAATAATTGTAAAAGCATGGCGCTGCAAGTGCAGCAATGTTTGCTTAACATGTGAATACTGGCATTCCCCTTTCATTTTGTTTTCCTGAAGCTGCAAAATTTCTAGTAAGCGTTGAATTTCAAAAGCTTTAAATTGTAACTCTGAATCACCATTCAGGAAAAATTTTTGTCTGCAGTTTTACCAAATGGTACATCCAGAATGGTACCACGGTTGCATTTTGTACCTCAAAGACTTTTCTAAACAGATTTTTTTACCAATTCTTTTGTTAGCTAAAAGTATGTGAGTATATGTCCATATGCGTGTGTGCGCACAAGATAGGAAGAAGGTATGACAACTTCCATGTTATATGCTACAACAAACAGTGCATATTTGTACCTATATACGTATACTTTGTAAAGACATCATAGACATTTATTTCTTTTGAAGCTTTTTATACTTAAAAACCTACACAGGTGTGCTGAACACAACAGATCTTGTGCTCTGCAGCAACTGGTGCTACCAGCCATTAACACTTCTGAGCTTCCTTTTACATCCCACCCAAGCTGAACCTAAAGATCTCCCGTGCCTATTACAACAGACAAAGAGTTCAATTCCAAACACAAATATGAGAATATTTTCACTGCTATCCTTCTAAAAACAGAGAAGTGACCATTAAAAGCAGACCATTTTTGTCTTCCTTAGGAATGCTACAGCACCACCCACCCCACTGTTAGCAGAGACACCTTCCCCTTTGCAAAACCTCCTTCAGCAAATGGCAGAAGAAGAGCAGGGAAAAAGCAAACCTTTCAGAAGTGTCTCAGCCAAGCTGAGGGCTGCCAGGGTGAGGACGTGCAACAGGGACACCTTCAGCAGGTCATTCATGTTTGATCCAGAAGGCATCCACCTCCTTCAGGCACGGAGTGCAGACTTCCCAGCCGGCTGCATTTCGGAAGCGGTGTGCAAGCAGGGCTTCTCAGCAAGTGACAGAGTGGGGTCTGAGGGATCTAAGTATAATCAGGAATTCTCCCACCCAGTGGTGGTGATGGACGTGGCCAGCTGGTGTGTATCCACTTTGGTCAGTGTGAAAGCGTGGGGCTCATGAAACAAGAGAAAGCAAATCCCTTCTGAATTCCTTCTAAGCAAACAGAGAACAGTACAATGGGCAAATGCATTTCCAGGACAGTACCCTACCCCAGAGTTGCAAAGTCATCAGACTTTTATTCCAGCACACTGTAAGTGCAATAATAGGAAAAAATGCTTGCCACTGCCTTTTCTTTCATCTTAGTCCCCCTCTTTTCCAGTTTTTCTCCTCTCACTCACACACACTCCCTCTTATTATAACCTTTCAAGATTGGCTGTAATATGCCACCTGTTGCCCTGCTGATAGTATTTCTTTTCTTAACAGATGCATTTGATGGAGCAGAAGAGGTTGGCATTGGTGACTAAAAGTGCCTTTCTGTAGGGAAATATGACAGTGGGGTTTAATCTCCAGAAATATCTTGTTAACCACCAGGTCTCTGCCTAAGATGAAAGGCAGACAATCAACACTCATTTTCTAGGAAGTCTTAAAGAAACATCAGAATCAAGATCTTCTGACTCACTCATTCTTACCCCATCCTACCACAAAGGCCTACATTATACTTTCCAAAAACGTCAAGTCACTTGTACTGCCTGTTTTTTCAACATAAATATTTATATGAAGAGCAAAGAGGTTTACCACTGTGGAAAGGCTGATGCAGGGGTAACGTCTGCATGAGCAGGGAGAAAGATGAATAATCAGTCCGGGAAGAACCTAACTGATGATAATCCTCTTGGAACACGACTCCACATACTTTTCATCATTTTATCAGCAGAGTGGATGAGAGCCTTGCGCTAAACTACATGGTTTGAGGAAAGCAAATGTGCAGTCATAACACATCACAGTAAAAGGTACTTTGAGATCTCTGGAATTTCCTTTATTTGCTAAACCTCTTGACTTAAACCACTTCTAAACAGTCATTTCTGCAATGAATGTACATGGCTCAGCAGTGCTTCTTCTAAGGCACAAATGTAGTAAAACTGACCAGTGCTGGGAATGCGTGAATCCCTATGGTTTGGTATAGCTCTATAATAACAATGTTACTTTGGTGACATGCCATCGTTAATTAAGAGCAAGGATCTCTAGGCAAGCATTCCTCTGAAGATGAATAAAGGCAGAAACACTCACAGAAGATATTAAAGGTATTCCAAAAATTCTGGAGATAGAAATGAGAAAAAAGCAAAACAAAAAGACAATGATGAAAGAACAATAATCCTACCAGGGAACAGAGAAATACTGATTCATGGCTGAATTTACAAGTACTTCTTTTGTTTAAGTCCAAACATAGCCAATTAAAATGCTCCACAGAAATGCAACTTGGATTTTTAGGGTAAAATTCTGTTCATGAAGGGACTTGGCCAAAGACCTTTGCATTTCTGGATTCCTGTTTGGAATGTGTTATAAGGGCTTTGAAAATGCACCATCCATATGAGTGCAGAAACTGATATTTCCCTTTTATTTGCCAATTGCAGCATTTAGAAATTTCACTGCCAGCAATGGCTGTTAAATGCTAATAATGTCTTTGCATTTTGGGGGTTACCAAAGTACTCTTAATCTCTGATTTCCTCTCCTTCATATATTTTTACTAAGGATCATAATAAGCTCCACTACTCTAAACAGTAAAATTACTCAGTACATGAGGGTAGAGAGGATGCATGGGTAAAGGTACACAAGCTCCAGCTACACATGCCAACAGGTAACATACCATATATATGGGAAGCTGGTCATCTGTGCCTGTCATGGAAAAATTATTCTATGATTTCACAGTGAAATCAGTGAAAATCAAATGTTGGTGACACAAACCTTCTTTGATTCCAAGTATTTTCCAAGCTTACCTTATAAAAGTAAAACACACCTTTAATTTTTACTCAAGTGGTTATGAGAGTGTTGCTTACTGGTTGTTGTGCTTAGGAGTTTTCCTAACATAGCTGAGATGCATGCAATTTACAGATAATTATTTTTACATCTGTTGTTTCTTATAGTCATGCCCCAAGGCTTCTGCTGAGATGAGGTCCCAGCATCCTACACAATAATGAGAAGAAAGTCCAGTCCCCTGCTTTCAGATGTTGTGGGAGAAGCTTTGTTCCCAAGGATTTCTGCTTATCTCTCTGCACTTCAAACACTCCAAAGAAGGCAGTTCATGAAGTTCAGTACACAAGACAAGGTGTGTTCATTCACGTAGCTGCCATTTTTTCCCACTGCAAACTGTTTGTGAAGTGACAAATATAGTATTTTGAAATAAATGCATAAATACAAAGAAAGTAGTAATTTGTTAGAGTTGACAGAAGATATAATTGTCTTGCAGTCAATTAAATTCTTGACATTTCACCACTATGATGAGTGGAAACTGTTTGCAGGGCAGAACCATGCTGGACCTTTTTTCTGTACACCTCTGTACACTTCCATCCTTCTCCCAAGTATTCTGCTGGAGGCTGACAGTTTTGCATGCTAATGTGACATAGTTTGACCACTGAATTATTTGAAAACTGCCTTTTCTACCACATTACCCTCTGGGATGTCTTCTCCCCAGGTAGTCCTAGATGCTCATCCAAGTAGACAGGCTAGGACAGGTATTTCCAGCAGAAACTGTCCAGACAGATAACAAAATCATCCTACAAAGAGACTTAATGAAATTGCTTTGGCAGTGGTCCTAATCACCCAAGCATCTGGTGATTCACACTGAAATGATGCAAGTCAGCACTACCCCAACCTGAGTAGTGATTGACTTGCCTGACCTCAGATTGAGGTAAGGCTGACTGGCCTGTAGATCCCTGGATCCTTCTTCTTGCATTTTAACTGGGTGGCATTTGCTTTCTTCCAGCTCTCAGACACCTCTCCTGGCCACAACAACCTTTCAAAGATTTGTTGTTGGTAGGAGGTGCAACACCGCATCCTTTGTCATTGGCCTCTCCACCTCTTGTTTGTATGAGAAAGTGATCATCAATACTTTCGAAGAACATCCTGGATTGTTTGTGTACAGCTGAAGGAAAGCCAAAAAATGAGCATGCCCTAACCTGCCAAGATAGCAGATGTGTACAGACACAGAAGACAAGAGGTTTTCAAATCCCAAGCTGCCATATCATGGCTCCAAGCCTCTTCCAGCTGGCAGAGAGATGAAAAGGATGTACTGTGTGGTCTTCCCTTCAGATGGATTGCATGCACGTGTCCCTGCATACACTAATCTGATGCACCCTTGCTGCTTCCTGCCTCAAAGCTCCTGGCCTCTTAGATAGTGGCATCCTCTCAAAACTTTTGACAGTGAAACCCATTTTGGGGCTGCACATGTACCTTTCTGCACAGAAATTAATCAAGGTCACATTGTCATAGAGTTATGGTCACACTACTCCTCCCATTCCACCCTGCTCACTTTGCCAGCAGTACCTACAGGCAGCACAAGCTCCTGGGTGTCTGACATGGAAAAAGCATCTTTGACAATGCATGCCAGCATTAGGAGAGGAGATAAACATCATTTTACTTCTCTTGTTACACAGTGCAAGTCACTTCTTTACAGTGATCCTGTGTCGAAGCAGCTTATGTAGCCACCGGCTCCAAGGGATTCAACCCAACCTCCAACACACGCGGCCAGTAAGGTAGAGTTACTTGTGTCAGAACAACAGATGCTGTACTCAGTGTAATATGTAAAGGATTGAGCTGTACTGCTGCTGCTCTTCACCCTGCACTTGATGCTTTTTTGTTTAGTGTTTTTATTTTTTAATTGTCAAGATGAAAGAAAGGCTTTTCTCTAAAGTCCTTTTAAGAAACACAGACCCTTCCCAAAGCCCTGCTTAATGTTTAAAATTGAGGGTTTCAGACACACTTGTCTTGGCCTCTACCCTCAGCTATCTGGACCAATCTCTGGTCCAGATACTAACATTTCAACACTTACTAAGCTCTGATGCCTCAATCTAAAATAATCCTCTTTTACTCTCTTGAGATTTTGTGGCAATTGGGAAAACTAAAATTTGCATTAATTTCTTGCTATCGTCTTGCTATAAACTTCTCTATAATTTTTCAGCTCACAGGATCTGACAGCACTGACTAAGGACAATCTAAGATGCCATACTATGTTTTGTGGTGGAGCAAAATTTTGTAGGGTTATGAGATGTAATTAGTGCGGTGGAATAATGTAAGCAATGTAAAGAAAGAGAAATAACCATTGTCGTGCACCTAACTAGCTGTGCACAGTATATATAGCACAGAGGGTGAGCTGATTGCCATTGTTTCATAATGTATAAAACTAATTCCTTTGCTGTGAGATCGGCCTCCTATTTCAGTTGCTGCCAATGTTATCCAGCCCCACACCATAACACAGGAAAGACCCCACCCTCGATAACCCTCTCCTCTCAGAGGATAACACTGTCATGAGCTGAGCTGGAGTGGGACAGAGATGCCCTGTTCTCCCAAAGAGAGTTGCCACAAAAAATGTATGATCCTTGCTCCTCAGCTTCTGGCTTCAGTGTGTTATCCTGTGCTTGCCGTTGGAAGAGTGCAATCTGGGGACCAGGATGGCTGTTGACACACAAAACCTGCTCTCCATCACATGGTATCACAGCCCAGCAAGGGGGAAACAAGACATGCATTTAGATATAGCTACAGCAGAGCTCTTACTGACCCCTGCCTAGGGAACTGGGGAAGGAAGGACCCAGTGTGGATTTCCAGGTCACAGGAGCCACATGAAGGAGGGCATCTACCTACGGGATCCCTTTTTGCAGAAATAAGGAAGAGTTTCACAATAGACATGCATTAGGGACTTAATACATCCCACTGATTTTGATTTTAATATTGGCAGATACTGCAAAAATATAGTCACTACAAAATAAAATCTGTCTATTTCATATCAGAACTCCTGTATTATTTTAATTATTGTTAACATATCTTTA